TGGACATCCCTGAAGCTACCCTTTCTGATGGGTGTCTTCATATGTGGGTGGTGGTCAAAACTATGATCCCTTTTGGGGTAGGGTTTAGGGTTTAGGATTTAGGGTTTAGGGTTTAGGGTTTAAGGTTTAGGGTTTAGGGTTTAGGGTTTAGGGTTTAGGGTTTAGGGTTTAGGGTTTAGGGTCTAGGGTTTAGGGTTTAGGGTTTAGGGTTTATAAGGTTTAGGGTTTAGGGTGTGTCAGGGGAGGGCGCGCGCTCGGGTGTGGAACACCCCGGGCCGCGCGCTCGCGTTGCCCGTCAACCCACCGCGGCCACCCAAACTATACTCTATTAGGGTTTAGGGTTTATGGAATTTATTTTCTTGTGCCCTGATGCTTGCTTTGACATTTTTAAAGTTGCGTTGTTAGGGTTTAAGCTGGGGTTGGGGGTAGCCTCGGCCCTTTTCGGGCCTTCGGCGTGTCAGGGCCCGTAGAGGCCCTCATTTATTTGAAGGTCAGGGAAACCCTTTGTGCCTGCTCTTTAAAGGCCTCAAGCCTTTTGGTGGCTCTTGGGGCCTTTTGGGGGCTTCCTGGGGGCTTTCCTGGCCCTTGCAGGGTAAAAGAAGGGGTGCCCAAAACCATCGATTTCAGTACCAAAAAATCGCATTTTTCATTGCGGGTACGGGCATCCTGGGGGTCCCCCTTCTTTTAGGGGGCCTTTTGAAGCCTTTTGGTGGCTCTTGGGGTCTCTCGCCCTGTTCGGACCTTCGGCGTGTCAGGGGCCGTAGAGGCTTTATTCATTTGAAGGTCAGGGAACCTATTAATGTTTTTCGCCAATGAGTATTTCAATCGCTAGGGTTCAAGCTGGGGTTCGGGGTAGCCTCGGCCCTTTTCGGGCCTTCGGCACGTTAGGGCCCGTAGAGGCCCTTATTTGCTTGAAGGCCTTCATAGGGTTTTGCGGTGTTAGGGTTTAAGCTGGGGTTCGGGGTAGCCTCGGCCCTTTTCGGGCCTTCGGCACGCCAGGGCCTGTAGAGGCCCTTGCTGATTTGGGGGCTTCCTGGGGCTTTCCTGGTCCTTTTCGGGTGAAATGGAGGGGGTACTAAAAAATAACATTTTTCATTGCGGGCAGGGGTGCCTAAAACCATCATTTTCAATATTCAAAAATCGCATTTTTCATTGCGGGCACGGACAAATCTTGTGGTCCCCCTTCTTTGAGGGGGCCTTTTGAAGCTTTTGAAGCCTTTTGGTGGCTCTTGGCGCGTCTTGGGGGCTTCCTGGACTTTCCTGGCGCTTCTGGTGTAAAATGGAGGGGTGCGCAAAACCATTTTCATTGATGGTACGGCCCTCTTGGCACGGAGGCCCTTTGGCGCGGGGGGCCTTCCTCTAGCCCTGAACCCGAACCCTTCCAGGCCCTTGACCCCGAAAATTTTGTTTGGCGGAGCTTGGCTTTTTTGGGCGCGGCCCGGGCCCTTGGCCTCTTTTGGGGTTACTGCGGCCCTGCGGGATGGGGGGCCCTTGGCCCGGGGGCCCTTCATTTGGGGTTATACTTTGGCTACGCTAAAGGTGGTCTGGGTGCCGGCCATCCCTTAGCCGAGTACTGACGTTGTCGTAAAAAAGGCCGATGTCCGTTGGCCTGTCCAGGACAGACGGTGAGGCTTAACCCTCACCTTTTCCGTTTCTCCTTTCGCTTGGGCGCTCGGGCTGTAAGGCCCTCGGCCGAGCGTTCGGGGTCTGTCGCTCGACGGAAGCGACCCCTCACTTAGTTTAAGGTTTAGGGTTTAGGGTTTAGGAGGGTTTAGGAGGGTTTAGGGGGATTAGGGTGGTTTAGGGTGGTTTAGGGTGGTTTAGGGTGGTTTAGGGTGGTTTAGGGTGGTTTAGGGTGGTTTAGGGTGGTTTAGGGTGGTTTAGGGTTGTTTAGGGTTGTTTAGGGTTGTTTAGGGTTGTTTAGGGTTGTTTAGGGTTGTTTAGGGTTGTTGAGGGTTGTTTAGGGCTGTTTAGGGTTGTTTAGGGATGTTTAGGGTTGTTTAGGGATGTTTAGGGTTGTTTAGGGTTGTTTAGGGTTGTTTAGGGTTGTTTAGGGTGGTTTAGGGTTTAGGGTTTAGGGTTTAGGGTTTAGGGTTTAGGGTTTAGCCTAAATCTTAGGTGCCGTATTGTAACAGGGATCCAAAAAGGGACCAGAATTTTGACTGCCACCCATATGTGATTATCTGTATGGTTCTGCGGTTCGGCGGCTGGCTGACTCGACTAGCCGACTCTCTCTCCTGCACGGTAGAAAATTGGAGATTCGCCCCAAGATACCAGTTAACTTCACGCGATCGTTTCGACAGAGGGCCTCCATTAGAGGCGCGTGAATCCTTTTGGTACAAACCAAGCGAAAATCCTGTCTGGCGTGCAGGTATCAATCATGGGTTGACAAGACAGCTACACGAAGAACCCGAGCACAAAAACAACACCGTAACAACACGCAACGTCGCGAGGTTGGGCTTGGGTGCATGAGTTCGTTCACATCTTCGGTATACATCTATAGACCGGCTCTGCTTCGGAAGCCCTAAAACCCTCAACCCTAAACCCTAAACCCTAAACCCTAAACCCTACAGTAAACCCTAAACCCTAGGGAGAAACCCCAAACCCAGCCAGTTCCGAGCGCCAGGAGATCCTGAGCGCCCGGCGATGGGAGCTCCTCAAGGAGGCGCTCCTGGACCTGGCTCGAGCTCGAGACCCCTTTTCCCTACTTACTTCTCCAATAACCAAGGGGAAAAAGGTTAAACTTTAATATTCCTACTAAACAAGGAAACCCAAGAAGTCTAAAGTTCAACTTAAGGCGAAGTAAGTTTAGGATTCTAGCAGAGGTCAGGGAGGTCTTGCGGGGTGCTCTCCGCTAGATGTGGCGCTCTCGCCCCAGGTCGTGTTGTGCAAGCCCCGACCCACACTGAAACTTTCACCCCAAACCCTTCTGGTGGCGAAAAGGGCTTACCATCCCCCAAGAGCCTCGCCCCAATATATTCTGGCGAGTGTCGCGCAGAAGCGCAGAGGGTCTACTTATAGCATCTGTGTGGCTGTTGGGCACAGTTTACCTACTTCCATAATCGTACTTTCAGTGTGCCCTGGCAGATGTTGTTCATAAAGGCGCAACCTAAATGGATTCGTGCCAGACTGCTCGGGCTCTGAGTGAAGTCGGATGTACGGACCCAAAAGCCCCTAAACTCAGGCTTAGGCCGACCCCTGTGGAGGGCGGCGTTTCAGCACCCACGATGGGGTACCAAGATGGGACCCCGACCCCTTCCTGAGACCCTCCAAACCCTGGTGGTTTAGCCTTCAGACAGCATGGGGTGGGATACAGAGGTTAGATGGCGGCGCTACAAAAGCGGGCCGTGGCCCGTGTCTGCTCCTCGCATATCACGAAGCTTTCGAGCCTAGTCTGCATCCCAACCTTCGCAGCCGCCACGCCACACCACAGCAAAACCCTAAACCCCAAAACCGAAACGCCCTAAACCGGTGACGCCCTAAAGCCCGAAACCGTGCTGTGCCTCTGCCAGGCTCTTGAAGCCCTTCTCTCTCAGCAGGGGTGCCTGGGAGGGGTTTAGGGTTGAGGGTTCTGGGTTTAGGGTTTGGGGTTTAGGGTTTAGGGTTTGGGGTTCAGGGTTTAGGGTTCAGGGCTTAGGGTCGTGAGGGTTTGGGGTTTGGGGTTTGGGGTTTAGGGTTTAGGGTTTGGGGTTTAACTAAGGTTTAGGGCTGGGGTTTAGGGTTTAGGGTTTAAGGTTCAGGGTTTAGGGTTTTGGGTTTTGGGTTTTGGGTTTTGGGTTTTGGGTTTTGGGTTTTGGGTTTTGGGTCCCAAAGCCCCCTTTCCGGGTTTAAAGTTCAGGGTCTAGGGCGTATAATTAATTAGGTTTTAAGGTTTCAGGGAAGCGTAAACTGAACAACCCTGACGCCCAACCACCCACCCAACCAAAACACACAACTTAACCTCCAAATCCTGACGACTTCGGGTCCGATCTCCTCGATATCGAGCTTCGAGGTTAAGTGAACGGCTGCGGAAATTCTGGCTTAAAAACCAACCTCAACCGAGGGACCTACGGAATTCGCCGTAATCCCTTGCAGTTCATGGGGTTCAGGGTTCTGCAAGATGCTCGCGGGGTGGTGGCGATTCTTGAACCTTCCATGCGGGAGCTTGGGACCCAAACCCTAAACCGAGGCATTTGCCGGGGGGGGGGGGGTCACCGTGCAAGCAAGACCTGCCCAGCCCACAAAACCCATGCGTGAAGGTTCATGGCAGAAAAGAATGGGATTGCGAGGGTGTGCAGGATTTTCGGGTTGATGGCTTTTTCGAGTTCAGGGGCGATTTCCAGAGTGAACAGGGCTTACAAGCTTTATACAGTTGAAAGGCTTGAGGGTTTAGGGTTTAAGTTTGTCCCTGAGGCCAGGGCAAACTTCTGCAGCCTCGGCCACGGGACTTGTTTCAGCGGTGCCGCAAAGCTGTCAAAACGATGTCAGGCACTGAACACGAACCCCTGCGCCCCGGAATCAAAGGTTGTAGTGTTCTGTTTGGGTCAGGGCTTCTCCCTAAACCCCAAAACCCTAAACCCTAAACCCTAAAGCCTAAACCCTAAACCCTAAACCCTAACCCTAAACCCTAAACCCCAAACCCTAAACCCTAAACCCAACACCCTAAACCCTAAACCCTATAGGCCCTCAAGCCGAGTAGACCTGCAAAGCAAGCTGAGCCAGGTAGCTGGTAGGCGGCAAGCCACTGCGCCACCTCCAAGCTTGTCGCGGAAAAAAGGGTTTAGGGTTTAGGGTTTAGGGTTTCGGGTTTCGGGTTTAGGGTTTAGGGTTTAGGGTTTAGGGTTTAGGGTTTAGGGTTTAGGGTTTAGGGATTAGGGCTTCAGCTTGAGGATTTCAGGGTTTAGGGATCCAAGACTTTAGGATTCGGGTTTCTTCGGGATCTTGGGGAACCGAAAGTTCACGAGCTGGGATCTGGAGGTGTAGAAGAACTCTATAACCCGAAAGCCTAAACCCTAAACCCTAACCCCTAAACCCTAACCCCTAACCCCTAAACCCTAAACCCTAAACCCTAAACCCTAAACCCTAAACCCTAAACCCGTGAATTAGGGGCCCCAAAGGCTGCTGGGAGAGTCCTGACCTCCTCCTCCGCAGTGATCGCGGGGCCCTCGCGGACTTCGATCAGCGAGTTGCCGATCCTGCCGGTTGCAGGTTGGGGTTCGGGAGTTTGGGTCTAGGGTTTAGGGTTTAGGGTTTAGGGCCAGGGTTTAGGGTCTAGGGGGTTCAGGTGGGTTTGGGGGGTTTAGGGGGTTTGGGGGGTTTAGGGGGTTTAGGGGGTTTAGGGGGTTTGGGGGTTTAGGGGGTTTTAGGGGGTGTTTAGGGGGTCCGCGACCCTGGCGGCGTGTTGGATGGGAAAAGGAGGTGAAAACCTCCTCTTTCCCCTCCCTACCCCCCCCCCTCCCCCCCCTCCCCCCCCCTACCCCCCCCCCCCCCCCCTACCCCCCCCCCCCCCCCCCCCTACCCCCCTACCCCCCCCCACCAACTTTGGCATCCTGTGACCTAACGAACGCGTTTAAACCTTTCAACTATGCTCCAGCGGGGTCGGCAGCTTGAGCCTGAGGCTCTTAAATTTAGGGGGTTTGAGGGGTTTAGGGGGTTTAGAGGGTTTAGGGGGTTTAGGGGGTTTAGGGGGTTTAGGGGGTTTAGGGGGCGGAGGGAGTGGTGGGAGTTGGTGGGAGTTGGTGGTGGTGGTGGTGGTGGTGGTGGTGGTGGTGGTGGTGGTGGTGGTGGTGGTGGTGGTGGTGGTGGTGGTGGTGGTGGCGGTGGTGGTGGCGGTGGTGGTGGTGTAAGGGGTTGAATGAGGGAGCTTAGGGAGGAGTTTAGGGTGATGGAGTTTGTGGAAGTTTGGGTGGGTTTGGGGGTGGTTTGGGGGCGGGGTGTGGGGGAAACTAGGGAGTTTGGGGCGGGGTTTGGGAGGGTTGGGGGGGGTTTGGGGGGGGGTTGGGGAGGGATGCTTGGGCTTTGCAGTGATGCCTGAGTCAGAGACGGACCGCTTCAGCCGTGTTTGAAGCCGCTGAACTCAGCGTGAGCCCTTCCCCCCCCCCCCTGCTTCCCCGCTCAGCCATGTACGACTTAAACCCTCACCCCTGGACTACTCTTTGCTTCAGAAATTCAGAAACCCCCAAAATCACTATAGTGCCGAAAAACGAAGAATACTGTTTAATTCACCCTGAAACCCTACACCCTACACCCCGAAACCCTAAATCCTGAAACCCCTGAAACCCTCGGGTTCTAAACCCTAAACCCTAAACCCCTAAAACCCTGTACCCTAAACCTCAAAACCCTAAACCCTTAGCCCCAACCCTCTAAAACCCTGAAACACGCGAGCTCGCATCCGGCGCTCCTCATCTCTTGCCCGGCGGCGAGCTCAACAGAGCGGTTCCATCGTATCCGGATCTTGCAAGGCGGGGGACGTACTCTGGCTGGTTCTTTGTAGGAATGAGGGAATTGGGGTCCTATTTCTTCCCTTTCCAGGGCAAACATAAGGTCCTCATTGCCTCATTCCCTGCTAAGTGGCGGGGGGGAGGGTAGGGCTTGGGGGGATTTTTGAGGTTTAGGTTTCGAGGTTGGGTTTGATAGGGTCTTTGAAGGCTTAGGGTTCAGGGTTTAGGGTTCAGGGTTCAGGGAAGAGTGTCCGTATATGTCAGTTTTAGGGCGTAGAGTCCGTAAGACCCCCTCTACCCCAAAATTCTCTGGGGCCTTACGGGCTTCGGGTAGCACATGCCCAACAAGACCCACAAAAAAAGACCGAGTGACTGAGCCCTAAACCGTAAACATTCTGGTCAACTAAGCCTTTCAGCACAAGGAAGCACTGGGGTTTAGGGAGTCTAGCGTTGAGTGAATCTAGGGCTTGAGGGAGTTTAGGGTTTGGGGTCTAGGGTCTAGGGTTTAGGGTTTCGGGTTCCGGGTTTCGGGAATCCAGGGGTGTATGGGTTCAGGGAATCTAGGGGTTTAGGGTTTCGGGAATCTAGGGGTTTAGGGTTGAGGAGCTTCCCCTGGGGGCCGTGCCCACGTGCCGTCGTCGCTGCCTGCGTCCTCAGCGCGGGTTCATGGTCCTCATAGAGCCCTCAAGCTCCTTCTTCCTGTGCATCCCCTACATATAGGGTTTAGGGTTTAGGGTTTGGGGTTTGGGGTTTAGGCTTTGGGGTTTTAGGGTTTAGGGTAGCATCCTAAGACCGGAGACCGCAGTACCCTCAACTAAGAAGAAGGGCCCCGGTATCATTGTGTCACGTCGGTGCCCTGTCCCCTTACCTCAAAGCCCTGTGAACCCATCCATGGCCCTTCGGGAGGTTTAGGGTTTAGGGTTTAGGGTTTAGGGTTTAGGGTTGAGGGTTGAGGGTTGAGGGTTGAGGGTTGAGGGTTGAGGGTTGAGGGTTGGGGGTTGAGGGTTTAGGGTTCAGGGTTTACTGTCAGGTTTAGGGTTGGACTCCTTATGGAGCCCGTAACACTCCAGACTTTACCCTCCGTGCGACCTGTACACGAAAGTCCAGGTGCTTCTTGGGATTCAGGTTTAGGGTTTGGGGTTTGGGGTTTAATTAGGGTTTAGGGTTTAGGGTTTAAAGTTTAGGTTTAGGGTTTGGGGTTTAGGGTTTAGGGTTTAGGGTTTAGGGTTTAGGGTTTAGGGTTTAGGGTTTAGGGTTTAGGGTTTAGGGTTTAGGCATCCTATACTTCTATACCCTAAGCCGAAAAAGCCCGAAACCCACTTTGGCTTGCAGGGGTTCAGGGCTTTTGGGGTTTTAAGCAAATCTTGGAGTTCATGCGTTTGGGGTTTATGGGTTTATGGGTTTATGGGTTTATGGGTTTATGGGTTTATGGGTTTATGGGTTTATGGGTTTATGGGTTTATGGGTTTATGGGTTTATGGGTTTATGGGTTTATGGGTTTAGGGTTCAAGGCTTTAGGGTTTTTGAAGTCGGTCTTAAGTTCATGGGTCTAGGGTCTATGGGTGGCGTCAAGGGTATTGTGCACCCACTCCCCATCACACCCTCACACTTTTTTTGACACAGAAGCCCTCCAAGCCTTCATTCCCTAGAGCCCAAACCTTGAAATTACGAACACTGAGCCGCTGGAGCCCTAAAGCCAGGAACCCCAAAACCTCAGGTTTAGGGTTTAGGGTTTAGGGTTTAGGGTTTAGGGTTTAGGGTTTAGGGTTTAGGGTTTAGGGTTTAGGGTTTAGGGTTTAGGGTTTAGGGTTTAGGGTTTAGGGTTTAGGGTTTAGGGTTAGGTTTGGGGTTTAATCCGAGCATCTGTTTAATTAATACCCCCACATTTAAAGATACTTTTTCGGCCGGAAGCCCGCCGGAAGACTACTTTCCATTAGGGTGGATTTCGTATGGGGCAAACCCACCACATTTATAGAAATTATTTTGGGGTGGTTCAAAAATCTGTCGGCAGGCTTCTTGTTTTGCATGCGGAGATGCGAAGCTACAGCACCTCAGGGAGGGCCATGGTCCAACTATTGCGGAACCCTGCCTTCCTTATTGCGGTGGGGGGGGGGGGGGGGGGGATCCCCCCCAATTAAACAGATGCTCGGATTAGGGTTTAGGGTTTGGGGTTTGGGGTTTAGGGTTTAGGGTCAGGCACCACTAAATAAGCCTTAGCCCGGTGCGTTCTCTCGACAAGTGCCTGAAGCCATCCAAGGGCGCGGCCCGCAGGAAGTACTGACACGTTCCGACGTTGAACCTCCGCGGGGTCTGTATGTACCCATACATATGTAGCTGTGTATATATGTATCTACATGCATCTAGGTATATACAAGTATACATGTGCACACATGTATACATGTATGTGTGCTTTATGTACATATGTATATAGATGTAGATATGTGTATATGTGTATATGTGTATATGTATATATGCATAAGTGTATAAATGTATATATGTATATATGTATATATGAATATATGTGTATATGTATATATGTATATATGTATATATGTGTATATGTATATATGTATATACGTATATATGTATATATGTATATATGTATATATGTATATATGATATATGTGTATATGTATATATGTACATATGTATATACGTATATATGTAATTCTATATGTAGAAACATAATCTTGCACCCTGTTTAGAACGGTCCTCCTGAATGAAGTAGAGCTTGCCACGCTGGGATCGTGTTTTGAGTCAAGTCTTCCGGCTGTCATAAGAATGTTTCAGGCGCCGCGTGCCCTTAAAAATCAATCGCCGGGCCTGTGCGACTTTCAAACTCATGTAAACTCATCCCTGTTAACATGAAAGTCATATGAAATCACGTGGACCGTCTAAAGAGTGACAAAATCAGCTTCGACTCTTTTCTCCTCCTTGTCTTGGGAGGGGGGGGTACACGAAAGAGAGGGCGCAACATTACATGTATAGGTATGTAGATATAGACATATAGGCAGACATACACAAAACATGTGTATGTATGCTATATATATACACACATCGCATATACACATAGCCTACAGATACATGTTAATATCTACACACATGTGTGTGTGTGAGTATATACAAATATGCGCGCACACGGACAAACCTTTTCTGCAAAAAACAATAACAATAAATATATGTATATATATATACAAATCCACATATGTATATATATGTGTGTGTCTATATAAATATGTACATAAGGGAAGGGAGAGAATTACATATGAAGCGGACCTGCGGGTCTTTCGTAGGAGTGGGTGCAGGGCGCCCTCTAAACCCCAAACCCCCAGACCCCAAACCCCAAAACCCTAAATCCTAAACCCTAAACCCTAAACCCTAAACCCTACAAGCAGCTGGGCCCCGACTTGATCTCCGCGTGACTGGGAGCCAGCCCCGCATTCTCGATGTACATGGTCACCGACTGGATTTAGGGCTTGTAGGATTTAGGGTTTAGGGTTTAGGGTTTAGGGACTAGGGTTTAGGGTTTAGGGTTTAAGTTGTGTGGAGCAGGGTTGTGGACTCAAGTCGTGCGGTGTGACGGCCTTTGGGTTGCCAGGGCAGGAACGAAATTAGGGTTTAGGGTTTATGGTTCAGGGTGCAGGGTTTGGGGTTTAGGGTTTAGGGTTTAGGATTTAGGGTTTAGGGTTTAGGGTTTAGGGTTTAGGGTTTAGGGTTTAGGGTTTAGGGTTTCGACCTACCACGGAGACTAAAATGATGTGAACATGTTGCGGAGTGGCGGTGTCAACAAACATGCGCACGTTACGTGGCGTGAGTGGCGAAGACATTCACGACCCGAAAAAAGCGTTCTGGTCCCTTTTCTAGAACATGGTCCCTTTTGGAAGTCCTGATTCTATGGCCTTTAGGGTACCCCAAAAATGGACCCTAGTTTGGAGAGAACTGACCATACTGGTGTATCAGCACGGGTGGGTCGGGTGTGCTGTGAGTCTATTAGCAAGGTGGGGATTGCTCTTGCTGCCTTAAACCCTGAACCCTAAACCCTAAACCCTAAACCCTGAACCCTAAACCTTGACCCCTAACCGCTAAACCTTAAACCCAAGCCCTAAGCCTAGACTCCCTAAACCCGAAGCCCCGTATTTGTCAGGGTCTTCTCCACACAGACGGTCTGGGGGCCTGTAAGAATTTCTGGTTTAGGAAGTCGTTGAAATTGTTTTAAGACATTCGGCTCAGCCTCTTGCACCTGCGTTCTGGGTTCCGGGTTCAAGGCTTAGGGCTTAGGGGTTAGTTGTCTTAGGCTTGGGGCTCTTTGCGGTGTGGAGGTTTAGGAGTGCCAGGAGACTTGGAAGACCCCCAAACAGCACTGCAGACACGCCCGGGCTGCGGGCGTTGCTACTCCTGTCGCTTCCAAAGAGCTCCCCTTGGGGGGTCCTGCGCGGTTTGGCGCTTCGCAACCCTAAAACCCTACGCCTTATTCCCTAAACCCTAAAACCTAAACCCTAAACCCTAAACCCTGAACCCTAAACCCTAAACCCTAAACCCTTCCAGTGGAGTCCTGTTGATGTAGATGAACCTCCCGGCGAAGAGTCCCTGAAGCAGGCAATGGGGTCTAGGGCTGCAAGGGTTTAGGGCTTAGGTTAGGGTTTAGGGTTTAGGGTTCAGGGTTAAGGGCTTAGGGCTTTGGGTTCAGGGTTAAGGGTTAAGGGGTCCAGGGCTAGGGTTTAGGGGGTGCACGCCCAACCTCTCGATTTCCTAAATCATAGAAGCGCTTAGGGCTTATGGTTTAAGGTTTCTACCCCTAATTCCCAATATTTCGGAAGCATGAGCCCCCTCATCGTTTTGGCTGCGAAGGCCCTGGCCATTTCCATGTCCACGACGCCGTAAAACATCTCAATTGTTCCCTAAACCCTAAACCCTAAACCCTAAACCCGAAACCCTAAACCCTAAACCCTAAACAGCCAGAGGCAGGTTCCCTTTTGGTGAAGATTCCCTGTCAAGAAGCTCTTGCCCCAATGGTCCATCTCTTTGTAGGACCTTTCAGAACCTCCCTAAACCTTAAACCCTAAACCCTAAACCCTCAACCCTAAACCCTAAACCCTAAACCCTCAACCCTAAACCCTAAACTAAGCCCTCTAAATCCAGTCTAGCTTGAATCTAGGAGTCCAGGATGTAGGAGGCCTTGGGCACGGCCTGTTCGGCACCCCGACCCCAAACCCCAAACCCTAAACCCCAAACCCTAAACCCTAAACCCTAAACCCCGAACCCCAAACCCTAAACCCCAAACCCTAAACCCCAAACCCCAAACCCTAAACCCCAAACCCTAAACCCTTAACCCACAACTGCTTGGGGCTTTGGAAATTCTCCCGCTGCTCGCCTGAACACATCTGGCGACGAAGTCCACGGGACCGGAGCTGATCTGCTCCATTCCTGTGGTTTCTCCGAGACTCTACATACTTACCCTAAACCCTAAACCCTAAACCCTAAACCCTACAAACCCCCTAAGCCCTAAACCCTAAACCCTAAACCCAAGACGCGACCCTAAACCCCAAACGTTTTCGGGAGACTCTTCGGCTCCAATTAGGCTCTTAGGCGTGCCCAGGTTCTCTGGCCATTTCTCCTCTGGTCGTTTCTCCATCTATAGGGTGTACATGGGCTTTAGTTTTGGGGTTCAGGGTTTAAGGTTCAGGGTTCAGGGTTTAGGGTTTCGGGAAGTTTTTGGAATGGGGTTCAGGGCAGGCAAGGGACACCGCAAGCCTTCCATCAAATCCATCAAGCCAGTGTACTGCTGCACTCTCCTTAGCCGCCATCCCCTGCAAAAAAGACAAGTCTGCCAGCCTGATGAGCAACGGGCGACACATGGGGGATTCACGAAAATCAGGGGCCCCCCCAAAGAAACTCCCAAATAATTAGTAGGAGTCGCATACAAGAAGGACCCCAAACAAGGTTCCCCTAATTTCGACAATATCCCGCGCGTAGGGGAGGCCCCCAGCCAGCCACTCTATAAAGCCCCCATGCCCACTGCAACCTCTGAAGTAGGTTTAGGGTGTCGGGTCTGCAAACTCCATACATACATCTCCCTCAGCGCTACATCCTGAACCCTAAACCCTAAACCCTAAACCCGAAACCCTAAACCCCGAACCCGAAATCCTAAACCCTAAACCCTAAACCCTAAACCCCAGAATCCGAAGAGGCCCTCGAAGCTGAGAGTATGGCGAACGCGCTCCATCCCCGCGGGGGAGGCGACGCGCGCAAGGTCCGCTTCTGCAGAGGCCTGAGGAGGTGTTTGGGGTTTGGGGTTTGGGGTTTAGGGTTTGGGGTTTGGGGTTTAGGGTTTGGGGTTTAGGGTTTAGGGTTTAGGGTTTAGGGTTTAGAGTTCAGGGGCCTGCAAGAGCTAGGTTGAGGGTTGCTGAGGGTCTTTAGAACTCGGGCGTTAGGGACCTGGTGGTTGAAGCATCTATGTACCCATGTATCATATAATATACAAGGCCCCTAGACCCTAAACCCTAAATTTTAAACCCTAAATCACCGTCCCTGGCCAAAAGTGAATACCAAAGACATCATCCTGGTGACCTTGGCAGAGTCTGTCGCTGTTGTCGCAAATTACAACTGGTTCTAAGTGGGTTTAGGGAAAAGGGTTTAGGGTTTCGGGTTTAGGGTTTGGGGTTTAGGGCTTAGGGTTTAGGGTTTAGGTTTTAGGGTTTAAGGCTTAGGGTTAGGGGGCTAGGGTTTAGGGTTTGGGGTTTGGGATTTAGGGTTTCAGTGGTGCTTTAAGTAACTATTTTTATACCTGGTTATAACCTTGTTTGGGGCAATTATAACCCTGCTTATAACTATCCATGCACAGGATTTCATCGACGCTTCAGGTCCTAAACCCTGAACCCTGAACCCTAAACCCAAAACCCCAAACCCCAAACCCCAAACCCTAAACCCATCTTCTGGGCGCGAGGGCCTCCACATCTTCGGCAGCAGGCGGTCGATCGTCAGCCTCGCCTTGGGAAGTAGTATAGGGGTCGGATTAATTACTAGTAGTATTTCCTTAGGGCCCCTTTATCATTATACTGTAATAACCCCCCCCCCCCCAAAAAAAAAAAACCTAGTTGCTTCGCCTAATATAGGGGGTCGGAATAACTACTAGTAGTATTCCCTTAGGGTCCCTTTATACAATTATACAATTATACTACTACAATACCCCCCAAAACCTTATGCTAACTATTCAGGCCTAGATTAGTGGCTTCAGGGTTTAGGGCTTCGGGTTTGGAAGGAATCAGACAGGGAATCCGTGGACGATGACCGAAGCCTGAAACAGCCACCAGATGAAGTAGTGATTCTGATCGCAAGTCTGCCATCTGCTTAAGAACCCCCAAAAGATTATAAACAAAAAACATACTATTCCTTTTCCGGGCAATGTAGGGAAAATTGTCTTAAAATTTTTGGGAGTTCTTAAGCAGATGGCAGGCGTAGCATGATGCCTCTTCATATTCATCTATATGAACCCAACATATTCATCTATTAACCCAAGGATCCCAACCGTCATTGGGGCCTGCTTGGGTTCAACGCCTGCAAACGCCCACTCCCAAGTAATAGCACCAAGCCCCAAACTAGGGCAGGTCTGGGGGCCTTGTAAAAATCCAAGTTTTATGGAACCGTAAGGACTATATGAGGCTTCGGGGTGTAGTCTTTCTAAAAACCAAAACAACCCTAAGCCCTAACCCTAAACCCTAGAACCTAAACCCTTAACCCTGAACCAGCCTGTCGCTGCCATGGTGGCACCGCCAACAGCGCCGCTGCCACATCTGGTGCCTGAAGAAACGGTGGGCCGGAGGCCATCCGAAGGTGGATGGGGGTTTAGGGTTTAGGGTTTGGGGTTTAGGGTTTAGGGTTTAGGGTTCAGGGGTAGGATTCCCGTATAATGACCCCAATAAGGTACCCCCAATTTCCGAAGGTGGATGGTCAAAACCAAGAAGCCCACAACCCATAAAAGGGGATCCCAAGTAAGGGCCCCTAACTTGGGTCCCTTGCTATATAACCATATACATAAAGAAAGGCTTTTGGGCGTAGGGTTGTTCGGCCGTTTAGGGCGTTTAGGGTTCAAGGTTTGGGGGGGCGGCCCCTGTGCCATTAGTTGAGAAGCGCGCCTTAACATTTCATTCGCTAGAATGCACTGCCATGTAGTTCTAGAGTACCCCTAAACCCTAAACCCCAAGCCCTAATCCCTGAGCCCTAAACCCTGTTTTGGGAAACTCCCTGACATCCTAAACCCTAAACCCTAAACCCTAAACCCTAAACCCTAAACCTCTCTTAGTGGGGCTCCTAGGGGAGCGCCGAGCGGCGTCGCTGTGGCCGGGTCACCGGCGTCGAAGACTACGACGAGTCGAGCCAAGCCACCGGTATCGAGTTTGAGTTGTTTTAGGGTTTAGGATTTAGGGTTTAGGGTTTAGGATTTAGTGGGTCAAGGTTTCTTCGAGCTTTCCCAACACAGCCTAAACCCTCGCATCCGAAAACCCCTAAAACCCTCAAACCCTAGGCCACTGACTCCCCCTAAACCCTGAACCCTAAACACTAAACCCTAAACCCTAAACCCTAGACCCCAAATCCCAAAGTACCTAAAGCTCAAACCCGAACACCCCCACAAGTCTCTTGAAGCACCTACATTATTCTATCCCCAGCTAACCCCCGAAGCCCGAAAACCCGAAAACCCAAAACACCGGAACCCTTAAACCCCTAAACCCCGAAACCCTTCCCAAAAACCCAAAAACCCCAAAACCCCAAAACCCAAAAACCCAAAAACCCAAAAACCCAAAAACCCAAAAACCCAAAAACCCAAAAACCCAAAAACCCAAAAACCCAAAAACCCAAAAACCCTAAGACCCTAAAACCCAAAAACCCAAAAACCCAAAAACCCCAAAAACCCAAAAACCCAAAAACCCAAAGACCCAAAAACCCAAAAACCCAAAAACCCTAGAACCCTAAAACCCAAAAACCCAAAAACCCAAAAACCCAAAAACCCAAAAACCCAAACACCCAAAAACCCAAAAACCCAAAAACCCTAAGACCCTAAAACCCTAAAACCCTAAAACCCTAAAACCCTAAACCCAAAAACCCAAAAACCCCTAAAACCCTAAAACCCTAAACCCCTAAAACCCCTAAACCCCTAAAACCCCTAAAACCCCTAAAACCCCTAAAACCCCTAAAACCCCTAAAACCCTAAAACCCTAAACCCTAAACCATAAACCCTAAACCCTAAACCCTAAACCCTAAACCTAAGCCAACACCCTCTTTGCGATCATTCTGTGATGCCGTCGGCTTCGACGGGTCCGGTTGGCACGGCAGCCGCCTGGTCCAAAGCACCAAAAAAACGCCCAAACCCTGTACCCTACTAACCCTAAACCCTAAACCCTAAACCCTAAACCCTCCGAAGCCCAAACATAAGGGCGGAGGGTTTCAGGATCAGGTCTTGACCCCATCGTGCCTTAATCCGTGGGTGCACAAAACCAAAGAAAAATGTGCGTTGCAGCAAGCTCAGCGCTTGCTGCCTGTGGGAGGGCTGATTTGCCTAAACCCTAGGCCCTAGGCCCTAAACCCTAACCCTAAACCCTAAACCCTAAACCCTGAACCCTAAACCCTAAACCCAGGAATCCATGGTGAGACCTTGGCTTGAGTCACCAAAGCCTCTAAACCCTCAACGCAGTAGCCCCGGGGCTCGGGGGTTTTGGGTTTTTAGGGTTTTTAGGGTTTTTAGGGTTTTAGGGTTTTAGGGTTTTAGGGTTTTAGGGTTTTAGGGTTTTAGGGTTTTAGGGTTTTGGGGTTTCAGGGTTTCAGGGTTTTAGGGTTTCAGGGTTCAGGGTTTTAGGGTTTTAGGGTTTTACGGTTTTTGGGTTTTAGGGTTTTTGGGTTTTAGGGTTTTAGGGTTTTTGGGTTTTAGGGTTTTTGGGTTTTAGGGTTCTAGGGTTTTTGGGTTTTTGGGTTTTAGGGTTTTAGGGTTTTGGGGTTTCAGGGTTTCAGGGTTTTAGGGTTTTAGGGTTTTAGGGTTCTAGGGTTTTTGGGTTTTTGGGTTTTAGGGTTTTAGGGTTTTTGGGGGTTTTAGGGGTTTTAGGGGTTTTAGGGGTTTAGGGGTTTTAGGGGTTTAGGGTTTTAGGGTTTTAGGGGTTTTTGGGTTTTTGGGTTTAGGGTTTTAGGGTTTTAGGGTTTTAGGGTTTTAGGGTCTTAGGGTTTTTGGGTTTTTGGGTTTTTGGGTGTTTGGGTTTTTGGGTTTTTGGGTTTTAGGGTTTTTGGGTTTTTGGGTTTTAGGGTTTTTGGGTTTTTGGGTTTTACGGTTTTTGGGTTTTTGGGTTTTCGGGTTTTGGGTTTTTGGGTTTTCGGGTTTTTGGGTTTTGGGGTTTTTGGGTTTTAGGGAAGGGTTTAGGGCTTCTAGGTTCAGACTTCACGCTCAGGCTTCACGGTTTATTGAACCCTAGACCCTACTTAGGGTTTAGGGTTTCGGGTTTAGGGTTTAGGCTTTCGGCTTTCGGCTTTAGGGTTTAGGGTTTAGGGTTTAGGGTTTAGGGTTAGGGTTTAGGGTTTAGGGTTTAGGGTTTAGGGTTCGGGGCTCAAGGTGCTGGGGGCTGAGGGGCGAGCCATCTCCTCAGGCCTGCGCCACAAGGCCATCGGGGTTCGGGGATGTTGTAAGGTTTAGGGTTTAGGGTTTGGGGTTTAGGGTTTAGGGTTTAGGGTTTAGGGTTTAGGGTTTAGGGTTTAGGGTTGAGGGTTGAGGGTTTAGGGTTTAGGGTTTGTGAAGGGCTTGGGGTTTGGGGTTTCGGGTTTGTAGGATTTGGGGTTTGTGGTCTAGGGTTTCGGGTGTGGCGCCCAACTTTCTTAACAGATTCTACTCATCATGACAAGGAAGTACAATAAGAGGTCTAGGACGCACCCTCCAGTGCCACCGCCATCATCCATGGTGATACCCAGAAACTCTCGGAACAAGGTTCAGGGCCCGTCGGGCATAAGGTTCCCTCCTAACCCTAAACCCTAAACCCTAAACCCTAAACCCTAAACCCTAAACCCTAAACCCTAAACCCTCTAGGTTGAAGCCCTTCAGATTCAAGCCCTCTAGGTTGAAGTTGGTTGCACCTCAAGCTTCTCAAGCTTTCTATGGGCATGTTTACAAACTGGACAGCGAGTAGGGCAATGTGCTGGGCTCAGGGTTTAGGGCAAAGTTTAGGGTTGAGGGTTCAGGGTTTCGGGTTTAGGGTGAGTAGGCTTTAGGGTTTAGGGTTCAGGGTTCAGGGTTTAGGGTTTAGGGTCTGGGGTGAGCCCTTGCAAGACACAGCGAACACCCCCCCCCCCCCCTAACAAGCAGCTGTCGCGTTGATGCCCAAACACCCCCTTCGACCCTCTCCGCCAGTGCCTGGCCGAAGCCGCCTGCTCTTCACAAGCACAACTGGGGGGAAGGGCACCCCTAAACCCTAAACCCCTAAACCCCTTGACCCCTAAACTCCTAAACCCCTAAACCCCTAAACCCCTAAACCCCCAAACCCCCAAACCCCCAAACCCCTGAGACCCTGGCTCTGGTAGCCCTGCGAAGAGGTCGTCGACATCCACCGCCTGATTTCGCAGCAGCCGAGGGTTGTGGTCCATCGTTTGGGGCTTTCAGGTTTAGGGTTTGGGGTTTAGGGTTTAGGGTTTAGGGTTTAGGCTAGGGTTTAGGGTTTAGGGTTTAGGGTTTAGGGTTTAGGGTTTAGGGTTTAGGGTTTAGGGTTTAGGGTTTAGGGTTTAGGGTTTAGGGTTTAGGGTTTTGGGTTTAGGGTTTAGGGTTTCGGGTTTCGGGTTTCGGGTTTCGGGTTTCGGGTATTGGATTTGGGACCCTACTAGTGGACAATCTCCAGCCCATCCCAGAAACCCACAAATTCTAACCCCAAACCCTAAACCCGAGATCTTGAACCAAGTCCTAAGATGTTGATGTCGTGCCATGGGTCTAAAAATCTCTAATGTTTTTGAACCATGGGGTGTGGTCTAATAGGGATCCGTAGTATGGGCCGTTATGTCTAGTGTATATACGGGCTGTAAGAAGGGACTCAGATTCAGGGCCCATACTTGGAAACTTAGAAAATCCGTGAGGCCTCTGAGACCTAAAGAAGTTTAGGGTTCAGAATTGTCAGGGCTCTGTCATGAGGAACCAGGACGGGTGTTAAGGGAGGGGTGTAAATGCACAGTTTCCCGCCGAACCCTACACCCCAAACCCTAAACACCCTCAACCCCAAACCCAAACCCTAAACACCAAACCTCAAAGTGCGTAGGGTGTGGGGAGGCTTCTGGTCGGCCATCCTCACCAGTTGAAAAGCAGAGGAGAGTTAGGGGCGTGGAAATAGAACCTCCCGCAAAAAGGCTCAAAAAACCTGGGAATCATAAACCCTGACAAAAAGAATTCTGAAAATGAAAAAAACTAACCCGAACTCAAGGCCTAGGCCGCCCCCCTACAGTGGGGGCGCGCTTATGCCCCTCGACCTCGATGGCGCAAGCCGGCACAGGTCGTTCGCCCGCCTCCCACTGGTCCCTTGTAGTCATTTCTGTAAACCAAGAAACCCCCCTAGGACCGACGCCCCTGCTGGACCCTTTCTGGGGAGCCCGCTGAGGCCTCCGGGCCCAAAACCCTAAACCCTAAACCCTAAACCCTAAACCCTAAACCCTCGTGAGACCCCGGCAACTGTTGGGGGGGCCCCCTGCGGAATCTGGAGCTGGGCCCTCACCTCTCCTGGTTCTGGGATCCCTGGACTGAAACCTTCCCCT